TGACTTGAATAGGTAAGTCCTGTGTGTAAAGATAGAAAGAAAATATATGTTTAATCTAAAAAAGGGAAATTCAGAGAAGAATCTGGGTATGAATATTTTTTTTTCCCTTAAATTTACCTATAGATTTCCTCTGTGCAGTTATTTTTAAGAAAAATAAATGAGCTTTTGAGAATAACATTTAAAGGACAGCTGGGGGGGAAAGAGCAGCTTAACTTGTAGGAAGAAAGGACAAAAGAGAAGATGGAAAAGGAAGAAGAGAAATGGATACAGAAGACATCTCAGAAAAATGGTACCTGTTGCTGTTGACATTTAACACTGGGGAGAGGATGAGGAATGAATCAATTAAGATCATGAAGTCCAGCTGAAAAACAGAAGGAGGGAGATAGGGTAACCTCTTGAAGCAACTTAAATAAGAAAACAGATTATCCTCTAGAGATCAGCATTGGTCACAAAATAACATAGAAAGCTTTAAATTCATAAGAGCAAGGGATTTAATGGCAAGAGGTGTAGCTGTCATGTTTAGACATGGTCACATTTCATCACTATGATCCTCCATAAAGAGGACACCTTAACTCGGAAACGTGCTCCCCTGACCAGTCTTCCCAGGCAGAGGTGCTGCAGTAAAATGCTAACACATGTCCTGTGCTTGAAGTGCTTCCTTCCCACGTGGCCATAATGAGAGCTCTGCATATAGGAGTTTCTAATTTACTCTTACCCTGAAGGATACCATAAGCACTGCGGGGACATTTTTTAACATGGCATGTGAGCTGCTTTCTGCTTACCAGTTCCATGGGTGAAAAGTGATGTTCCCCCAGGAGGTTTCTTGTTCAGTGTATATCAGTTGGTCACAGAAAAATCTTGAGAAGAGCTATGAGAAGGCATACTAATAAAAAACCCCAAAACATAATTGCTGGCATCCAGCCTTACAGTTCAGTGTGGGAAATTCTTCCTGCAGGATAGAGGGACAGTACAGTTAACTCATACACAGCACCTCTTTGCATACACAAACATAATTACAGTTAGTTCATATCTTGTTGGAAGTATAGTTTGTATCAAGCCTTGGCTCTATTCCACTTCTGCTGTTTTCTTTATGAAAAAATAAATGTGTGTGGCCGTAAGTTAAATTTATCTTATAAATATGCACGATTAAAATCAACCCTATTTGCTCATGTGCCAGAATAGTCCCAGCAGGGGAATTTTGAGAACCCAAATTTATTGCTTTGGCTCCTTGATTCTTCTGCTCCTTTGGCTCCAACCAGGGCTCTGGCCAGGCAGAAGCTGGAACAGAGCAGAGCATTTCTGCTGTGTGATCAGGTACATGTGCCAGCAGGGACAGCTGGCAAAGTCACTGGTGCTCTTGGCTTTGTACCAGGGACAATCCCCATCTGATGGGAAAAAGTAGCCAAATTATGCCCTACATTACTGCTTGCTGGGCAAAAAGCAATGTTGCCCTCCTGCAGCATGGGATCTGGTCCCTGGGATATTCAGGGTGGTGGAAAATACAAAGTAGTAGAGTGGTTTGGTTTGGAAGATTAACAATCACCATGGGTCAGGACACCTTGCACTAGATGAAGTTCAAAGACCTGTCCAACCTGGTCCTGAACACTGCCAGGGATGGGGCATCCACAGGTTCTCTGGGCAACCTGTGCCTAATCACCGTCAGAGTGTTTCTCCCTAATACTTAATATAAACCTGCCCTCTCAGTTTAAAGCCTTTCCCTCTTGTCCTGTGAGCATGGCCTCACAGAAAGGTAGGTGAGCTACACCAAGTTTCTGTGATACTATACAACTCTGTTATCCCAAGCTTTGCAAGTTGAATAGTACCCTAAAAAACTCCCTTAAAATTCGCTTTTTAGGTTTTTCCCCTCGGGGGTGTCTGCAGTGCTGAGTGCATGTAATGAATTGTACTAGGCTCATTTGAAGCTTGAATGGCTCATGGGGGTCAGCACCAGAGTGCAGGCTTTTTCACCCCTTGAGCAATGAAGCATTAAGTGAAAGTTATTATAACCAATTAGTGGTGGCATTATTATTACCAATTAGTGGCTGTATGAAGCAAATCATTACTCTTAGTTCAGTTATTAGCAGCCAGGTGTTCATGAAACGTGCCATGTGCAGCCAGTGTTGTACCTCAGCAGTCACTGTTGAGCCCAGTCACTGATGTCTCTCTGCAAGGGGGGGTGTCACACCAACACACTACACACCTCCAAAATAAAATTTAAAAAAAAAAAAAAAAAAGGTGTATTTGAAGTCATTGTGTCAGTGTGTAGGGCATTTTTTGGTTGCTGTCAGTGTTGTGTACCTAGTGAGTGAATAACAAAGGTCATTTCAATCTCTAGACCAGCATTCTGAAACCTTAAATATAGTGAATTCACAACCCATGATGTAAAGCAAAAAATTCGAATTCTGGTTTTGTTGTTGGTTGCCTCTTCATTCGTAAGAGAAAAATGGGCATGCCAGAGGAGGGGAGTTACAGTACAAATTACTCTTGACTGCAAATATTGTTTCTCTAGGACTCCTGTTTATAAAACCCTTAAAGAACAATATTTCTACACACCCATTAGTTTTGCAGGATGGCTTTAGAGAAGACAGTTTAGACAACAAGCAGCATTAATTAAATTTTATTTAAGAGCATAATTGCGCTTCTTACTTTTTAAAAATTGAATAGGAAGTTAAGAGGGGGGAACATTCTAATTGTGTCTTTAGCATCACTTCCTTACTGAACTACATATTTAACTTTTATGCATTTTTCTTGGAGATTCATGGAGCTGTAGCTTCAAATGCACAGAACACTTAAAAAAGTAAGAAAAGTAAGCATAGCTAATAAAATTCCAATACACTAAACACTTTCTGCATGAATTGACTTTTTTGTGTAATTAGAATAGACATTAGAAATATTTTTCTTGGAGAAAAAAAGTGTGGGGTTGGGGTACTGTTTTGTCTTTGGGTGATTCAGATGTCTTCTGATTTTCAATGTTAGTGAAGAAAGGATTGGCATTTTCTTTGAGGTCAGTTTAAAGGAAATGAACTGTAGGATAGCATCCCTCAGAGTGCTTTGAGCACAGCTGGGCAGGGACATCTGCTGGTGCAGTAAAGGAATTATTGAACACTTGCAACTGGAAGTGCAGTTGCATTGGAATGATTAAGGAGAAAACAATTCTGGTCATACTGTAATTACTTTTCTGTTCTGATATTATTCTAGAAACACTTACATGCATGTTTGGATTGCAGTTTGTGTATGGTTTTAATTTACTGGAAAAGTAGAAACTAAGGCCCTATTCATGAGCTGGCAGCTTGCAGGCATAATGTGTTGGACACCCTTCACTCAAAGGGCATTTAACCTACAGTCAGCTGCAGGTTTGAAATCAAACTTATGAAGCTGGACTGTGGTTCTGTGGATGAAGTGGGGTATATGTTAAACCTCTGCATTTGGACTCTGGACTTCTGCCAATGATTCACTGTGATCTCTAAGCTGATGAGTTGGTTCAGTCCATCGTTTTGTTTTCAACTCATCTTTGAGTCCATCATTCTGTACAAGTGCTGTGATAGTGTTTCAGCTTCTGAATTGTATGAATGGGTAAAGAATAATAAATAAAATTGCTACATATCTTTGGTTTAAAAGCTCTCTGTTAATTAAAGATACAGTGTGCAATTTTATTTGTATGTATTTACCTTGAACCCCTATAGATCATAAATATGTGACCAATATTTTAACTGTAGTCATTTTAAAAGACAAACTCTTTGTAATAAATTTTTTGGTGCTGTGTGGAACTGTGTACATGCTGACAAAACCAAGTCCTTGGAAACATATGTGTTGAAGGTCGTAACCTTGGGAAGAATTTCCCAGGAGTGTTTAGTGCTGTGATGTCTTACCAGCTCTGCACCAGGCACACCCCTGCCAGGACAAAGCAAGACTTTCTGCATTTGTGAACATCTTTGATCTTGGTATGCTTTTTCTGCTGTTTGCATGTATCCAGCCAATGGTAGTACATGTTGACCACACATGGAGCCTTCTGGGAGATGGTGTCACCTGCTCTTGAAGGGTATGGACACATCACTTCCAGGGATAATGTGGTCTCTGCAGGTAGAAGGGTTGTTGTCATCTGCTTCTGTTTACAAAGCTTTTGTGACTGCTGCCCTGTCTTCCCTTAGAGGAGGTGTGCTCTTGAAGGAGGTGGTGTTGATAAGTTACTAGTTTGTGCTTGTGTATTGTGTCAGGAATGCATTTTTAGCATCATGTATTCCACCCATGTATATACAATTCCATGAAAAGGGGAGAAAACACAAGTATCTCTCTCCTATGCTACCAACATTGTTTTTTAGGGGGAATCAGCAGCAGCTGCAAGCTTTAGCTCCTTTCATTGTATCCTGAACAGAAAAAAGTCAATAACCTACATCTTTCATAGCCAAATACGGGCTCCTTGCTGTGGGCATTTTTCACACCAGGAATCCTGTAGTTGGTAAGAACAGATATATGTATATATGTATTATCAAGCTCAGAATCAGAGCAACCACAAACTAATAATTAAGAAACTGGGACTGTCTGATTAAGGGTCTTCGTAATGTAAGAAGCTGCAGAGATCAGCATTTTGCAAAGTACAACAGTTTATCTCAAAGTCAGAGAAACTATTCCCTGCAGCTTTTCACAAGAAGGGTGAGTGTTTCATTGAGATCCAACCCTTCTTTCTCTCCTTGCAGTAAAACTTCTGTTTTCTTAAACTCATCATGACTACTTTTCCATAAAGCAACAGTTCTTTGTCATCTTGCATTATTGCCCTAGTGGTTCTTTTACCATCCTTCAAAAATTTCTCCACTCTTGGTTTGGATAAAATAGAGAAGCACTGGCATTTGATGCAGTATCCTTTGTTTCAGAGATGTCCCAAGGCTGTGGTGACAACTGGGAATCAAGGATAGCCGCAGAATTGTTGCAAATGTGCTGGCTTTTGTTCATGAAAAGCTCTCCTGTGGTGTTCTTTCACAGCCCTTCTATGGCATATTTAATCTGTAACACTTTATATTGCCAGCAGCCCATTACAGAGAAATCTGTTGGTTTTGTCTTTCAGGTGCAAAGATGGCTTGAAAGGATTTACATACTCTGCTCTAAAGTGAGTAAAGTTTCTGTGATATGTAGGACAAGATTTTGTGGAATCATGCACAGTGGCAGCTGCATTGTAAGAAAAGAGAATATTCCTAAGAAAAATCATGCTGCTCTAAAATTTTTCCAGCTTTTGGATATACATATTTTGAAGAAGGCATAATCATAGAATCACTTGGTTTGGATTCTAATATCATCCAGTCCAATCTTTAACCCAACACTGCCAGGTCCACCACTGGGTCCCCAGGTGCCACATCTACTTGTCTTTTAAATTCTTCCAGGGATGGTGACTTCACTACTTCCTGGCTAGCCAAGTCCCAGTGCTTGACAGTTGTTCCAGTGAAGAAATTTTTCTAATATCCAATCTAAACCTCCCCTCTTGCAGGAGTGAGGAAGTTTCCTCTTTTGTGCTGGCAAGCGATAAATCCCCTCATATTTGGGACTGTTATTAAAGGAAACTCAGACATACAATTGCATGTTTTTGAAGGAGTACTAGTCTGTCTAAAACTGGGATTCATCATTACCCATGTTTTCCTGGAAGCAAATGGCTGCTGTGTTTTTACCTGGAGCTTATTTGCTGAATTACAGAATGACAAAGTTTTTATATCTTCGTTACCCTCAGAAGGACTGCCAAGGTACAGTGTAACTTGGATTATAGTGCATGGTGTTAGGAAACATCTTGCCATTGTGTCCTCCCTTGCCCTTGATACACAGTAATTCTACACCTAAGATGAGCCAATATATTGACCATGTCAAATTCTGGGTGAAGAAAGAAGGCTGAAGATGTGGCCAAGCAAAACAATTGCTTTGATGCTATCGGTGGGAGCAAAAACATTTTGAAGACTCTACAAAATAGATTTATAAAAATATTCTAGTAATTATCAACCTTTATATAACCCCATTTTGCTGGAGATAATTGAAATATTTCAAGTGCCTTTTTATGTTATTACTTATGTTCTTCCTTTGTCTGAGAGCTGGACTTCCCTATCAATGTTTTTGTTTTTAGTTAAAAAAAAATTCCCAGCATCAGTTGTATCCTCTATCTGAAATATATCTTTAAATATATGTCAGTGGAGTGATCTTCTCTGAAAAAGTACGAGGTTTGGCAGCTGTATAGGATAAGTTTTTACAGATCTGGGAGTAAATTCAATCTAGTCTAAGACTTAAAGGATTATGCAGGACTTCATATATTTCTTTGAGTTATTAATGTAATTCCTTTGTTCTGTTTTTTTTCCTTTCAGATTCATTGTAGGGAAAGAAGAAATCCCCACCCATTCTTTTTCACCTGAAGCAGCATTTTCAAAAACAGATAGAAAAATCAAGCAGAGTGAAAAAGTATCACAGCCAATGAACATACTGGCACTAACAAAAAAGCTCATGGACAAAGTGTGAGTAGAAAAACCCAAAAGAAAAACAAAACAAATTGTTATATAGAGGGTTTTAATGTCTGTTATGTTGTATTTGACAATGTTTTATAATACTTCTGCATTGCATTTCAGTGTTTTTCTATTTTATCTTCACTAGGTAGTTAATAGTGGCAAATTATGAACTCCAGTGAAAGCAAAACCTGAAGACCTGTATGTCATAGCTGTGACTTGCAACATGTAGTTGTCTAATAAGGGAGAGCAAATTCAGTCCATGAGGATTGCAGGATGGTGGTTGCTTTCTCTGCAGTTTTCCACAAAACCATCTCATGGCATGGCTGGAATTAGTGGTACTATTAAGGGGAAAAATTGCACAGCGGCAGACCTTACTTATGTCACTATAAGTGACCATAACATAGTCTTTTGGGGACCTACATCCCTGTATTGCATAAAGGAGAACTACCTAAAAACAGGATTGATAGCATGTGGGCTGCCTCTGCTGTTGGGAGCTGGAAAATTGCAAAGAAAACAAGTGAGTCTGAAGAGCTCTGTTTTGCACAAGGTCAGATCTAGACATCTGAAGAGCTGAAGACAAGGTAGGTGCTTCCCTGTCTACAGAATACAATTCACTTTCTTTTAGCATGAGCTTAAAGAGGTGAGAGCAGTGAGCTTTTCAGTCTGATATGTTCAGATAATTTACTTCAGCTCTGACTGATTCTTCTGCTTGAGGCAGGTTGGATACCATGAGGAGTCATTCATTTACAGGGAAGATGAAGTAAAAAATGGGTTAGGGGTATGTTCACATGGCACCTATGAATCTTCACTTCCACTGACCTCTTTAAGAGCAGTTTTATGACCAAATCTCTACCTGCTGGAGAGAGAGTCTTCCCAAGTGCATTGTGTACTCGAAGTAGAGGCTTATTTTACTTGCTCAGATGATGAACAAACATGAAGTGATTCCCTTCATATGGTGACTTCTATGATTTGCTGTGAGTTCTAGTAGAAAAATATGAGGGAAATCATCAGTGGTTTTTCAGGCATGAAAAAGACACCTCCAGCCATAATCAAATTATTTTACCTGAATTGCTTATGCTTGCTTTGTCTTAAATACCTGTTACTCAGTTTTCTAGAGTTCACAGATCTGCTGTTGTTGGTTAAATACAAAGATTGAAGATGGAGAACAACATTCTTTATTTAAGGTTTTGAAGCTCCCAACTCAGTCATTCAGCAAACTTTCAATATGGAGTTTTTATGCTCTCACTGGTTCTCTTCCATATGGTTCTTTTCAATATAATTGAGTCTAAATGCCTGTAACCTGAGCACATTCTCATTACAATTTTTGGTACATAAACTGACCTCACAGATGATTTATGGCCATTAGACTTTATAGTACATGATTCAAAACTTCCAAGATATTTGACATAGTATATAAATTGTGTAATTTATTTTACATTAAATATTAAATACTTGGAGATAGCAAAATTGAATGTTCAGACCCATTATGACACTACTTATTTTAGTTCTGCCTAATTCAGGGCTAGAAACTGTGCAATCCACGCATCCCACCAGCTCAAGTCAGTCTGTTTTAAATGTTCAAGGTCAAGTTCTCAGTCCTAATGAAGAGCTACATAAAATCTACACTGCAGGAGAAATAGCCCAAAAGTGAGAGGTTTGTAATTGAGAGAACTCTCACAGGATGTTTCTATGCACTTCTATGATCTGCATTGCCCTTCAGTGACCCTTACAGTGGTGTGAAAGATGAAAGGACAGAGGTAACAGATGCTTGCTCAAATATCCTTCCAGAATCATGGAGTAGAGACAAGCCAGGGAAGGTCTCATCACCTCTTGTTGACCACAGCAGAAAATTTGTTCTTTAATTTAGCATTTTATATGTAGCATGGCAAGAGGTTGGATCCAAATATGTGTGCAGACACTTTTTTCTTGGTGTACAACCAAAGTATTGTTACTTTTTATTGTCCTTTTATGGTATCATAAAAGTTCACAGCGCCCTTCAGTGGGTAATGGGGAGAATGAGTGCTGGGCAAATAACACTTTATGTATTTTTAGCCAAGAAAAATTTATGAAGTCTCCTGTCGCTGAAAACAGCTACGAGTTAATACGTGTTTCATTATGCTTTTTGCAGGTGCAAACATGGCCCAAGGCATAGATGCTGTAAACACTATGGAGATAATTGCATCTCATACTGTATTAAAGTAAGTGCAGAAAAAGTTCGATCGACAAACTCTGGCAAAGAGGGGGTGAAAGTCTGCAGTCAGGAAAAGCATATGCTTAGGAAGTGAGAAATGAGCCTGTTACTCATTCTTCTATTGAAAATGTGACAAGCCAGAAAACAGATTTTCTCAATTTAGGACGGGGCGGTGGTGGGGTTAAAGTTCTCTGGTCTTTCAGACTAGCTGTAGTGAATGAGTAACATAAAATGTGTGGGAAAAGAATGGACTAGCAAAGCAAGGAACTTGTTTAACTATGTGATGCACTTCACGGCTGAGCCCACTTGTGACTCCCCCCTAAATAAAGCACCTGGAATGTGCTGCTGTGGCAGGAGGCCGTGATTCCCGTGCAGCTGCACAGCTCTGGAATGTCGCTGCTGGGCACTGGGTGCACTCCTCCAGTCGTTTATTTTAAGGGCTGGGGGTAATGAGAGATTGGTCACAGTTGCTGCGCCCAGGAAGAGCTGTTTATCTCCGGTGGTATAATCCATCCTCCATTATTAATGTGATCAGTGCATTTTTTTTCAGAGAATTAATGCAGAAATTTGTGTTGGCTGGCATTGGGTTGGCACAGGTGCTACCACCTGCTATGCCTGTTTTGGGAGTTGGTAAGACTCCAAAAGATCCAAATCCCTCAACAGTTGACCTGTTTTTATATATGGAGCAGCAAAAATGTATTTGAGTATCTTCAGATACTTTTAATGTATATTACTTTCAAAAATAACTTTTTAAAATATTAAAGGAACCTGAGGATAGGGAGGAAGGTGGATATTCAGGAGTATGCATCCTTTTCACTTATTGATTCAGTATCGTTTTGTTTTATATATCCTTAAATGGAATTAGGGGAGAAATAAATTTAACTGATAATAAAGCTGAATAAAGACTTGACCTGACAAAAAGTAAATTTTAAAAAGAAATTTTTATAAGGCTGTTCTCTCTTTAGAGAAGAAAGTTGTGCATTTGAAACACATTTCATTCTTGGACCCATTCTCTGTAGTATTTTGGTATAAATTATTCTTGACTACAATAATCAAATGAGGAAGATTTTGCTGAAGTGGCAGTCAGATCCTCTAATTTCCTGTCTGCTCTGCGACTTTTTATTTAAACACGAGTGCAAAAATTTATTTTTGTGTATTTGTATTTTTAAAGATCCAAAATTCTTGAAGTGCATTTCTATGACTGTTCCTGCAGTTGATCAGTAACAACTGTCAGCTGACATGATTTGAGAATGTTTTTACAATTCCTGTTCTGTAATGGAGCTTTCAAATCTGATAACGATGTGATGAGCTGCTTATTGCCAAAATTTCTCCTCAGTGCTATTTTTCCTTACCATTGAACAACTTGTCTTCTCATTAATACATCTGTGCTTTAACTGTAATTTGCATTCTCTTTTAAATGCTTCACATTTAAATGCACATTAGCTCATTGACATCATCATGCCTTTTAACATAACATTCAATAGTGTCATTCCACCTGAGTTGATTGACTTCCCTTCAAACTTTAAATACTTGAAATGCTTTGTGCTTGTAAATGTCTGAAAGGAGCTCTGACAGAAGCAGTGGAAGAATATTTTTCCCCTTTCGGATTCCACTTCTTTGCAGTGAGGAGCCATTAGCCAGCAGTAGAAGTCCAGTTGTCTGTTTTTTCTGCTGGCACTGCGGACAGGGCCAGGTAACTCTCCAAATTTACTGGTGGTTAGGGTGACCTCAAAGAAGGTCATAGAACCATATGGTGGTTTGGGTTGGAAGGGCTTAAAGACCATCTCGTTCCAGCCCCCCTGCCACAGGCAGGGATACCTTCCACTAGAGCAGGTTGCTCAAAGCCCCATCCATCCAGGAATGGGGTATCCACAACTTCTCTGAGATTATTTTCTTATGATTTTCTCAAAGTTCTGTCTGTTGAAGGAATGTGGGCTACTATATATATATATACACACACACTATATACTATATATACACACACACTATATATACTATATATATACTATATACCCAGAACAAATATTAAATATCTTAATTAATTTCTTTTAACTATCTTTACTAATTCCTAATATATTGCAACAGGTTGACTGAGTTTTCGGTATGTTTCTGAACTCTGTTTATGTGCATGTGCTTTTCTGAATTTGAGTCATAGCAAGTATCTTGAATGTATGATTAAGAAATTGGTTTCTCAAAAGCAGAAAGAAAGGTTTATTCAATAAATTCTGGAGATATGTCGTTACACTACTGCTGCTACTTCTGGCTGATCTCAGCTCCAACTCAAAACCTGTGTGGAGAATGGCTCTTAGCAGAGTTTTCTTTGCTCACTTGTGTTTATTACAGCATCCAGCATGTGCTCTGCTGTGTCCTATGTCCATTCTCATTGGAGGTCTTTTTATGGAAGATAAAAGTTACAATAATGTACATGGATTATAAGATATAATACCTCCTGCAACTGTGAAAAAACACCTGTAGGTGTGATAAGATTTGAAGTAATGATTTCCTCAGTAAAAACATCAAACACACCATTCTGTTGTTTCATATTTTGGGCTTTGTTCATAACTGCTGGGTTTAGGGCTTTTCTTTCTTTTTTTTTATAATGGCATGAAGGAATGGAATTTTTTCAATTAAAAAAAAATGCTGTTGCATCATTGGATGACTTATTTTCTTCCGTTTGATTCTCATAAATCACTTCTTGAATAGCAGGAAGAGTAATTGCTTTAGGAAGAGTTTATTACTGGATGTTTAACCACAATAAATTTTTATGAGCTTTATGATGCATTATAAAGTTCTTTAGGAGGCAAAAATGGTTTGAGTTTCTGAGTCTGAAAGGTTGCTCAGTCAAACTCTCTTCCAGATTTCTTTGTCACTGGCATTGTGTCCCTGTCATTGTAATTGAATAAGGTGCCTGCCTTATTTGCGGGTGAGTGCAGAAATACTTCTCACACAAAGCATCTTCCAAACAAAAACTGGGTAACATTTATTCAGAATTATTAAAAAAGGTTCACCTTAGGGTAGGAATAATGGTAGGAAGCATTGGAGGAAATTAGAAGAAACTGGGGAGAATAATTTAGAAAAAAAATTAGTGTGGTTTTGTATCATGTTAAAAAAGAAGCAAAAGAAAACAGATCTTTATCCAAGGTGGAATAGTAAGTAAGTTCTTTGGAACCCAATTTATCTTTTCTCACTAGCTCTGCACATGAAGTCTCTTCCAGTTTCTCCCTTTCCCTTGCTGCAGGCATCTGACAACCTCATGTTTGGCTGAGGCAAAGTCCGTGAGCATGTGCCAAGCCACCAGGGTTAACTTCTAATTCTCACACTTTCTGAAATTTATTTTTGGTGGACTTTTTCCACCTTACTGTTTTCTCCAGACATTTGAGTGTAGAAGTGTTCTTTTTTTCCACAACATTGCTTTCCTCTATAAACTCATTTGTGGTTAAAAGCTGGTCAGTAACAGGGAAATGAAGTCATCAGGATTATTTTAAAGGACAGAATTTTGGAATACAAGAGAAGTCTCTCTCTTGAGAACTTTCAGAAATTCATAGAAATTAAAGAAGAGTCAATTGTCTGTGATTCTACTGCTTTTGCTATTTTACAGGGTAACTGGGAAAAAGAAAACTCTTGAGTTTGAAGGTGGGAATAGGATACATTTATGCATTTTACATATTACCTTCAGAGTGGGTTTTAAACTATTCGATGTCAAAAATAAAAACTTCTGTAGAAGATTTTGCTTTTCCTTTTTCAGAATTGGTGGTTTCTTACCACAAAATCTCTCTTTCTTTTCTCTAGGGCTTCATTAGGATGTTTAGCATTGGTTACCTGATCCAGTGTTGCCTTCGGATTCCTTCCACCTTCCGGCATCTGCTTACACAACCATCACGGCTACTTTCCCTCTTCTACAACAAGGAAAATTTCCAGCTTGGAGCTTTCCTGGGATCTTTTGTCAGTATATACAAAGTAAGTTTCTAGCATAAAGAAATTACAAATGCTGTGGTTTTTATTTCCCTTTTCAGAATATCACAAAGAGCTAAAAAGTCAAGCTGCTTAATAGTACTGGTACTGTTTCCTACAGTATGTCACTGACAAATTTTATGCTATTGCAGTAATCAAACAGTAACAGTAAACAGAAAGCTATTCTTCCATTCTGTGTGTTTTTTCTGTAATTTCTAAATAAACCAGATGGATTTTTCAATTTGTTTTCAAGATCAGGAGACAGCGAGTACTTCAGAGAAAGTGAATTCAGACAGCAGAGGGATTTGCTGCTACACAAAAGCAGTTTAGTGCAGGCACAAGTCGTGGCTGCAGTAGTGTCTGTGTTGCCAGAGAGAAGCCATGTACACATTTTGCTGGCTCACATATCTGGAATTCTTACTTGACACTAAATAGCAGGGGACTGAAGAACATACCGTGTGTAGCTGAAGAGACATTGCACTTACTGCTTGGAAGTCTATCCTTTCTACCCCATTAGAAGGTGACAGATTGTGAGCTGATAGGCATTCATACAGCATGGTTAGAATTAATCAAATTATGTTTATTTATGCCAAAAGAGAATGTGGCAAAGCACACACTCTAATGCAGAATATATTGCACAGTGCAGTGCTGAAGTATCTTTTGCACTTTTATATTCTTAATCACATGGCATTTTTCAACTGCCACTTTACTTGCTCTGAAAATTCAAGATCATGCTGTATTATTCAGGGTAAATATTATTTACTGAAAAATAAAAAAGGAGGTCTTACACATAAGCAAGACAGCATTTCATTTGATTAGTAATTAAATTGAGAGACAAGAATTTGTAGGTTACAGAGTCTAAAATTTTTGAAGGCAAAGTGCAAATGAGCTGTTCAGAGTTTGCTTAAAAATGAAATTTTTTGCTTAAACTTTAAGGAAGGAAACCTTTAGAGAAGAAAAGCATTTAAATTGCAAAAGCTAAGAAGATTTTGATGTGTTTGAAAGCTCCAGTTGAGAGGTGCAATTTGGCCCAGTGGATACTCTTTTTATGAGGGTGACATATTGTGACCTTTATTTACTATTTTTATAAGTATGTGCTCTGCACCTTGAGTACTGTGTTCAGTTTTGGGCTCCTCATTACAAGAAAGACATTGAGGGGGCTGGAGCATGTCCAGAGAAGGGCAACAGAGCTGAGGAAGGGTCTGGAGCACAAGTCTGGTGAGGAATGGCTGGGGAAGGTGAGGGTATTTAGCCTGGAGAAAAGGAGACTCGGGTGAGACCTTATTGCTCTGTACAACTGCCTGAAAGGAGGATGCAGTCAGGTGTAGGTCAGTCTCTACTCCCAAGTAGCAAGGGAAAGGACAAGAGGAATTGGCCTCAAGTTGCCCAGGGTGGGTTTATATTCAATAGTAGGAAATCTTCCTTCACTTAAGGGGTTGTCAAGTACTGGAACAGGATGTCCAGGAAAGTGGTGGAATTGCTGTCTCTGGAAGTGTTGAAAAGGTGTGTAGATGTGGCACTTGGGGATATAGTTTAGTGGTGGACTTGGTGGATGCTAGATTAACAGTTGGACTTGATCTTAAAATTTCTTTCCATGCTAAATGATCCTCCAATTCTCTGATCTACTATATGTTATTGTTTGCATTTTATAACTTACACATATTTCAGTTGCATTATATTTTTCTTTCAGTCTAAATAGGCATGTAGGGCAGCAAAGATTCTAGTCACTCAAAAAAATTGGACCATGGCAAGAAAAAAATAAATGCTTGGGGCATTTTGCATCTGAGGGAATATGCAGTTTTGCTTTTTTAGATTATTATGTTTTCCTAGTTCCAGAATTTATTGGATGAAAAAATATCTGGAGTTTTGGTATGTAGTTGAAAAAAACCTTTATCCCGGGAAAGAGTCCAGAGAGGTACAGCAAATGAGGATGACATGAATTCAAGATTAGCTTTGGTATTAGATTGAAATTCAAATTAGGTTAATCTGCTCTCTGATTTTGAAAGAAATAGGAGCAGTAAATTGTAAATTTAAGAAACTGAAATGTTATGGGTACTATGTCCAGTCTCTGGACTTCAGTGTCATCAGTGCTTTTAAAAAACTTCTTCTTTAGTTGTGTTGATTTCTTGTGTTTCTGTTGGTGTAATTTAGTGTTTCTTGATGTGGTAAAGATTGCCAAATCAGACATAACGTGTCTCAGTAATGAAAATTTCTACAGCTCTTAAGAAATTGCAATGTGATTTTACATTTCCCTCACAGTACTCTTACAATGGGAAAGTTTGCTTCCTCACTTAACAATTAGATTGCCTTTTATTGTAACAGCCTTACCAAGCAGAAGAATGCATTATTCCTGGAACTGTTCAAGGCCAGGCTGGATGGGGCTCTGAGCAATCTGGTCTAGTGGAAGTTGTCCCTGCCCGTGGCAGGAGAGATGGAACAAGATGATCTTTAAGGTCCCTTCCAACACAAACCATTTTATGATTCTGTGCTTATGGGCATTATCACACTACACTCTTAATTCATACTGTGTGCTATATTACTAGATTATAAGGTAATGTGTGTTATAAGAAATGAGCAAGGCTCAGCCTGCATTCTGTTCACCTACAGGGTACAAGTTGCTTTCTGCGCTGGGTCCGAAACCTAGATGATGAACTTCATGCGCTTGTAGCTGGTGAGTCCATGAAAAGTTAGTGTTGTGTGTGTTGGGACTCTGTAAGTATCCCTCTTGTCTGTCCTCCTATTCCTTTTTTAGACTTCTGGGATAAAAATAGGACTGTGTACATCAAGGTTTTGTCAAAGTGACAGTGGTGCTTCTAGTAGTGTCAAAGAAAGAGTTGCAATTAAAACTGTAAGGTAAATTCGGTCAAATATGGTGTTTATGGTCAGCTCCAGGTATATTACTGTGTGCACAAATATAAACTTGTCCTTTAATTTGCAGCTGTAGAGATGTGAGATGAAAACACTGACTCTTCCATATGTCACAGAATACTCATTGAGCTCCACTGGGTACAAAGAAAGAAACTTTTGCCATGAAATTCATGTGGTGGTGAGGCCCTTCCTACGTGCGCATCTGTCGCATGTTGGAACTCTCATCCCACAGAGACCAGAGAAATTTGTTAGTGTGCTCCTAAGCACTGAAGTACAGATTTGTTACAACATTTTGAAACTTTCTCTTTTTTTAGTTATACAAACCATATTTGGATGGGCAGCGAAAGAACATCACTGAACTGTGCTGTCTGTAGCAACAAAAATAAATAGTCCTGTGCAGTGTTTGTTGGGCTGACACACAACAGTGACCTTAACAACACAAATCACAACCTTAACAATGCTTTTCTAATTGTTACAGGGTGTCTAGCAGGAATTTCTATGATGTTTTACAAAAGTACAACTATCTCTATGTATCTGGTGTCTAAATTAGTAGAGGTAAGTTATTACCCTTCTAAAAGAGATCTTCATTTCATCTATTTTTTCAAGGCATTTCGTCAGGCAATTCCAGTAAAATATAAAGTTGTATGGTGATGGTATTTCAGTACATGTGTGCCAAGAGGCAATGATGCCATGTGGTCTCATTTTTCTTTCTTTCTTAGTTTCTTTTCTTTAACTCTTTTTAAATGTCCTTTATCCACTGATCTTCATGTATATTCTCCATGATTTTTTTAATCTCCTGACAACCCTTTGCTTTGTAGTTTTTGCAGATTTTTCAAATCAGAAAGTTCCAAGAATGTCTATTCTGCCAGAAACATAAATCAGACCTAGTCCTTAATTGCAGATTTATTGCCAAAAGCTACAACTTAACTTCCTGCCTTTGTTCCCTAATTTTGGCATTCAACAGTCTACGATAACTCAGAATAGCTTAGGTTTTAGTCTATAGCTGAAGTTGTTTGTCAGTGTACTACAGCTGATTGAATTCCCAGCTTTGGAATGAACTTTGCTCTAATTACTAGTCTTCAGGCTTGAATTATTTCTCTGAACTTGTTAAAATTAGGAGCCCAGGGAAAAAAATAGAGTTTGGGTATGTTGATTATACTTTTCTAACCAGCATTTGATTTCTTACTGTGATTTTTCCAGAAAACTGAGACTTAGTCATGGTTAACTCCCCAGCACCACTGGAATGAGTTGATCATGGTCTCTCACTGTGCATCATACCTGAAGCACATATTTCTCCTGCAGATCTTCAAGGCCTTGTTCTCTAGTGATATTTATCCCCCTCCATTACCAGAGCAGAATTCATTTTAAAGGATATAAAAAAAAGGAACTTCTTTTTGTTACACATAAAATTAAACATAAAAAGGGAAGATACTCTCTGTTCCTCCTCCTGGTTATCCAGCCTCTGAAGGCAGTTCAGTATAGGTCTTACAAAGGCAAATCTGAGTTACCCATATTTTTAGAGCACCAGTTGTAAAAAGTCAGTATTAGCTTGTATTGGTAATGGTTTTCTCTGGACTTTGAGATATCATGGATACAGTGAAATAAGAAAAGTGCTATGTGTTCTTTCTTTCTTTTCCTTTTTTTTTTTTTTTTTTTTTTTTTTTTTTTTTTTTTTTTTACTACTTTTATCATCTTACGCAAGCCAAGGGTAACTGACCAAAGAGGCGTGTGCTGCTTTGCAAGGTCAGGCTGTGCTCAGGAAAATAAACTGTACATGTTTTCTCAGAAAGTAAAGTATGTGATTTCAAGCTGTTTAAGAACAGTGAATATTCACTTTGTTGGAATAGTTATTGCATTGTTCTTTTGCTTTTTTAAAAAGAAGAATATAACAGAGCAAAATTTGCCCTTTTTATCTTTAGGTTCTGTAACACCCAAGGTGTTGCTAGTCCTGTTCTGTGCATTAATAGCCTCTTATTAGATTGATCTTGTCCAACTTCTATAATCTGTCTTAATCAATGTCACATTTGTGGGCATATAAAAAAATACAAAGTTGATGTTCGGTTGGTCTTTTTTTTTCTAAATGGTAAAATAAAAAGCAAAAAGATACTTTGGTTTTGTTGCATTCAACATTCTTTATTTTTATAGACTATATACTTCAAAGGCATTGAAGCAGGGAAGGTTCCCTATTTTCCTCACGCAGACAGCATCATCTATGCCATTTCTACATCGATATGCTTTCAGGCAGTAAGTATGTTCTCTAAGAGAGCATGAAGTTCTTTAAATCAAATGTTAAATGTAAAGAGGAGCACAGGGAGACAGTTCCGTAGAAAGGGTGGTGAGATGTAGTGATTCACAGCATCTTGCTGCTGCATCCTGGGGCTCCTGCATCCTGGTTTTGAATGTCACTGTGGGAAGGTCATTTCTAGGACTCAATTTCTTCTGTGCTTATAGCTGAATACATTATACAAAGCATTAAATTTTTTGGAAAGGACCTTAAAATGCACTCACCCAGAAGATGAACATTAATGTATAAACTTCCATATGCATGTGAAAGGACAGTTTCTCAAGAAGACAAACAGTGTAATACAATGTGTTTTTTTAAATCAAGTGAAAGTTTCCACTGTTGGCTGACTTGAATTAATGTTACCTAGTTGAAAAAGTTTGCAAAAAAATAGTGAAAACCTGAGGTATTACATTTGACACAAGTTGTAGTTGCCATCTTTTGCACTCCTCAAGCTAGCTACATGCCTTTACCTTCAGTTCTTTTATCATCTGAATCGGCTAGAAAAGCAACTATTCAGTGCTACCCAAATAGCTCCACTATTCTACTGCACCTCACTGTTTCTAGATCTTCTGCTGAAACATTACTGCATGAACTGCATATTCTCTGGACCTCCATAATGATGTATATTTTTTGTGGCCCCCAACAAAGAGAATATAAAATGATCCTAAAGCAATCTTCTGCAGTCTTGTGCTTAACCGGACCTTTAAGAGATGCTCCTCCTCCTCATTGTTCCCCTGTACTTGGGAATATCTCTAAGTCTAGAATCAAAGTAAATTGGTATTTTAGTACTTGGCATGTGCCTGAAGGTCTCTGAAATACTGCTGTCAGGAACAGTCGTGTGAGACTCACAGACAAAATTTCAAATGAGAAAAGAAGTGTTTTTTGATTACTTAATAACTAATTGGAAAGCAAATCCAAAACTAGAAACAAATTCCTAGGTTTAGCAGGAAGACAGAAGGAGAAATTAGGAAAAGGATCTATGCTGAGATGCTTGTTATTCGCTATATTTCTAAGTGACCCAGAAGAGTAATGGAATAGAGAATACATGGATTTTGGCTATATGACATTTTCTAAGATAATGTAACATGAAATATAAATATGACTACAAGAAATGGTGGATCACGAAATGCAGAATGGATAGGGGATTAAGTGGGAGGTGAATTTGGCATCCACCAGTCTAAAGTCATGTACATAGGAATGATTGTTGTTGCTTTCTCTGCAATGAGGTGTAAGTTAATTGTCACCACTGGTAAAATATTGTATTCTGGGAATATCAGTCTGTGCTAATGGTGGTCATACAGAGCATTGAATTCAGCAGAGAGCAGTAGAAATGAGTTCCATAACAATCCTCTTGCTAATTTTGACAACCTAATGTAGCAGATGAACCTTTTGCCTGACACTGTCAACTGGCTCTGACAGAATCCTCTCCTTGCAGGCTGTGATGGAAGTTCAGAACCTGAGACCTTCATACTGGAAATTTCTTTTACGACTAACAAAGGGCAGGTATGTACTCAGGGGTGTGTTATGGCTTGTCTAAACCTGTCATTGATCACACTCAGCTTTCTGTGTCATTCACTGTCAACAGCAGAGCCCTAGATGAGGGCTAATTTCCTGTGGATTTACTTGGCTTTTCAAACGGTTTCCAGTACTCTTGAAGTTCTTTGCTGCTGAAGTGACATTGCTGGGTTTAGTGTAATGACAGGAGTAGCCTAGTCTTCACTAGTTAACTCAAGTGAAAATTATTTAGCAGATGAGTGTTTTGAGTGTTTTACTTGAAGCCTTTTTAGTTCACTTGGAGAATGGGATGCTTTCAGATTCCACTGGAACATGAAGAATCCAGTGAATGACTATACATGTTGAAGAAATCACTCAGTATACAGTGATTGGCAACATGGTATTACTATGGGTTTAAAAGCATTACTAGAAATGTCAGAATATCTCCTCAGAATACTTGGGAATTTCAGTACTTTTTTTATAACTGTTTCAGTTGAGAAAGGATTTTTTTTTTCTTGGAAAGCTAATGAAAATTATTCACTGATCACAGTCATAAATATACACTGTAATATTAACTGACTATTTTTCCTATTTGCTTCAGGAATCTAAAAAATGTCCTTTTAAAAAGAGATCTTGCTGTAACTGACTTACAAAAATACAGTTTAATGAAGTGTACACTGTTACATACTGGTGCAGTGTGTGGCAGGAACAAGGCATGCAAATCTTGATCAGTTTATGAATGGGGTTATAAAAGGTAATGTTTCTTGTGACAACGAGCTTTCTGGGCTGTAAAAATAGAAGTGAAATCAGAGGCCAGTCCCTGGAGCATGTTGAACCTACACTCCCTGTGGCACAGTACACACATGAGATCATTGAATATATTGCAAGATTTAGTGGGAAGCTTTCCTTGGGATGCCTGAAGGCAGTCCTCAGGCAACCTCTGAGGCCATACAAACATGATACAGGGAATGATGTTAGTGCAGATGTCCAGTTTTGGCTGCATTTCTTCATTTTGTCCTAATCCTAAACTTGCCTTAGTTGAAATAGAGGAAGGAATAGAAGTTCTGATTTATTTTATCTGAAGCAAATCTCTGTAACAGTAATTTTGACACTCTCTACATAAAGACAATTTCTTTTGACATTTCATGCACTTTTCATTCTATAGTTGTGAAGAACAACAAAATGGAAATAGGTAACACCTGTAAAATTGGCATCCAGACTTGGGCAGGCAGGGCCACAGTTTGCTCTGCTGGAGTGAGAGAGAACAGTAGTGTAGTTTGGTTTGGTCTTTTTTTTGTGGAATTGAAAGTAGAAGTGGAGTCTTCTTTTTTTCAGAAGTTGCATTATTTGATGTACACTTACACAAACACTAGTAGCCACATTTTTCAAATGCATTTTTTAAAAAAATCTTTATTGCCCGAGGTGAAAAACTGTCAGTCTCTGAAGAGTGCAGGTTGAAGCCTGTATGTCAGAGATTTTGGTAAACTTTCATGACATTAAAGAATTTTATTTTTTTGTAAGTAAGTGAGACATGCATTCATGTTTCTTGTCTTTTTCAGGTTTGCTCTCATGAACAGGAAAGTTTTAGATGTGTTTGGTACTGAAGCATCTAAGAACTTCAAGGATTTCACGCCTAATCTTGACCCAAGATACACAGTTGTGCCACCAGAGCTACCGTTGGAGCTGTCTTGAACACAGCAGTGTGGCTCATCATTGAATGTGATCAGCATTTTGTCCTGAAAAGTTAATTAACTTGACAGTCATATATATATGGAGGAGGGCTAGAGCTCCACTTCAGTATTACTTCAATGAGAAATGCTTTTTACCAATCAGAAATACTGAAGCTTTGCAGGGGGAGTGTGGCTTAGTGATTAAGCCCCTTCCATAAGCAGAAAACACTTCTGGATTACTATAGTTGGTTGACAGTATGGTAGAGTCTTGAATGAATTAAACAAATGAGTAATATATTTAGAAAAGAGAAGTAAAACATAAATATGCTTCATAATTTCAAAAATTCCATAGTTCATACCAGTAGAATGTTTCTTGGTAAAACTAAAAGTAATTCTTAATTTAGAAAGGAAGACAATTGGCATAGTTTAGGTCCAAAATTTTACCTGATCTTAAAAATACTGCAGACTGGTCAAAATGCCTCCCTGGTTTTCTAAATTACATCACTGATTTGTCTCAAAATAGCCACCACCCCCTCATTGGTTAAAATTAGGGTATTTTCACACAGCTGTGGTTGCAAAATGAGGCATTCCTTAGGAAAAGAAAATGCATATTGATTCAGAAATCACATTCCAGGGCTGTAAATTCCACTGGTGATGCAGATAACGGACAAGGGAAACAAGAAGGTGGTACCAGTGGCTGCTGTGCGCCAAGGAGCAGTGGGTGTGGTGGTCAGCATCTGCCAAGTGGAAAAGCACACAACTGGCAGAGGAAGGAATGAAGCCTTCCAGCCTCTGAGATGGGGCTGGAAACAGCCGACAGTTACAAAAATAAAAAAGCCAAGAACAAAACAAAACAAAGCAAAACACCTCCCCCCTCCCCAGCTGAAATATACTGAAGCAAAATGTTTATTTCTGAAAGGGTTTGACATTGTCACCTTAGATGGCATCAGGTTGTTTGTCAGGCTACAGCACCAGCCTGTGATTCAAGCATTTCTTTGGAAGAGAACTGACCCCTGAGGTTAGGCTGTTACAGAGAACAGTTTTGACAATCATTAATAGTCTTTTTTCCTTGTAGTTGGTGAAGAGTGGTTTTCCCATCGGGCCGTCAGACCTATGACTGGCACAGTTACATTAAACTTGATATGGTACTCAATGCAAATAGCTACCTACACAAAGTCCATCTCATTTTTACTGTACATAGTTCTGCAGATTTGTGTTCTAAAGTGAGACCTTGACATGCTAATTGCTTTTTTTTTTTCCCTTGCTTTCTTGGGCTTTTTAAAATTATAACCCATTCAGGTGATGCTGAATGGTGTTCATTACCCTAGAAGTTAATGAAAAGAGGAACTATATTCACATTCAATTGAAAAAAACTGAAAACAGGCGAGATAAGCCAGGGAAATTGCAGTAGGTTGCATGTATTTTAAAAACAAAAACAAGAAGAAATCAGTGTTTTATTGGAAGTCTTTATCAGATAATATGAACTGGACTAATTAGTAGACTCTTTGTTTTCTAACACTGTAATCCTACCCCAGCCATAAATATATTTTAATTCCAGATAGCTGAATTTCTTAATACTGAATATACTGTAATTTTTACCAGATTTATTGTCATGAAAATTTTACCAATTTGTGCACAAAATCTGCTTCTTCATCAGCTACACTAACAGTGATGTTTGGTCACTGTTACTAAAGGTGCTTCATCCTTTGAAACAGTGGTTGTCCAATTTAGTGTGAATAAAGTTCTGTAAGCTAGTTTGTATGCAATATTTTGTTGCTTGGAATTATATTTGAATTCCTAAAAAGGAAATAAAAGTTAATTGAACAAGAACTTTAAAAGGATTGTAAGAGATTTGTAGTGTTTTTCCACTGGAATATGGTCTAAAGTATTTGACCTTGTAAAGTCTGAGAAGTTATATATTTTAGGTGGTATATTAGAACTCACACACTATATTATTAATACTTTCTAGTGTAACTATATACCATTCTCAAACTTAAAGATATTTTATAAATGGATTAAGTTTCTCCACTGGAATGACAATTTGATTGTTTCTCTATTTGAGGGATTTTTTTTGGGAAAAAAATCCAACTACATCTCAGCAGCTTAATAACAGTTTTGTCAATGTTTCTTGCTTCCAAAATTCACAGTTCTTGTTTCAAGTTATTTTCATGTAATATAAAGAGAAAATAAAAATTTTTAAATTATTTTTATTCAAATTGAATATATGTAAGAGAAAAAAAAAAATAAAGTCCTAATGTTCTTCCCAATAATAAACGATTGCTGCTTAAAAAAGTTATTTTTTTTGGCCATGTTTTTAGTAAGCTCTCTGGAGTCATAAGTAAAATGAAGTCATAAGATCATATAATGGTTTGGGTTGGAAGGGACCTTTTAAAGGTCACCTAGTTCCAAAGCTTCCTGCCATGGACAGGGACTCCTTCCACTAGACTAGGTTGCTCAGAGCCCCATCCAACATGGCCTTGAATGTTTCCAAGGATGGGGCAATCACCATCTCTCTGGGCAACCTGTGCCAGTGTCTCACCACCCTCCTTGTAAAAAGCTTCTTTCTTCCATCTAATCCAAGTGGACTCTCCTTCAGTCTGCAGGCATCAGCCCTGGAATGATTCTTGGTGGTGAAGGAATGCCAGGAATGCCACCGAACACTTAAATTTGTTGCAAAATAAAGTCTTAATGCAATGTCAGTGAAGAAGTAACACCGGAGCAGTTCAGCTGGTAGCTTCAGCTCTGCATTTCTGGGCATAATGAGGTGATGCAAGTTGATGTTACTGTTTCCTTTTTAAACGGCAAACCACATCTCCCGATGTGCCGGCAGGGAAGAGCTGCACAGCCCGGGCTCTGCCTGCCACGGGGCTGGATGGTTGGGCTGCATGTGACTGCGCTTTCTGCCTCCAGTGTTTGTGATCATAGGATGAGTGTCTCTTTGATGATGCCAAACTTCTTGCAAAAGTTTATTCTACAAAGAGGAATACGGTGATAGGCTTGCACAGGAGTTGGTGGGAGGTGGTGAGTCAACCTGAAATGTCACAGTTCTGTGGCAGAGGTTTGGGTGTCCTTAGGGAGTCCTGCTCAAGGCAACAGTGCTTGGCTCCCTGTGGGCATCTCAGGAGGCTGCTGCTTCATTCAGGGCTCCCAGAAACAAGCGAGGCCTATGGCTTACTTCTTCATTCCTCCCTCACCTCTGCTCATCCCAGTGTTGGGTCATTCCCCTTTGTGAGTTTCCCTGCCTTTTTTCCCAAGCCACTGTGCTTTTTGCCTATGTTTGAGGACATGGGAAAGGTTTTTTTTCCAGGTTCCTGGTGACATCCCAGGTAGAACTGTCTGCTGTGTCTGAGCCCAGCCTTATGCTCAAATTCAGAACAGCTTGTATGCAGCTTCAGGTTCCAGCTCTGTCAGAGGAAAATATTTCTGGACAAGTGGTCCTTGAGTGTGTATGTATTGACAAGGCACAAAAAGGCAGCAAGAAAATCAGTGAGGCTTATACAGAGGTTTTACTATTTAGAGGATTTTTTTTTACACAACTACATTTAACATGGAGGGGAGGCAGGGCCCAAGCTCTCTATGGCCAGACTCAATGGTTTTAGAGGTCTTTTTATGTGATACTACATCAGGGTTATGAGTCCTTGCTCTGGTGCAAAAGCACAGGACTAGGGGGATGTAGCAAAATGCAGTTCAGGTCAGCAAAGTCATTTTGGTGGCTGTAGCTTTGTGCCTAAATACTCGTCTGGAGGTTTCTATTTCCAGAATGGTTTTTCTCTCAATTTGCAGGGAGAGAGTGCATCACAAGTCACCTCCTTTGACAAAACCAGTACATTTTCTCTCATGCCTTTGAGAATGCAACAGAAAAACATTACACTTTTCCTTGAGCTACACAGTTTCATGGGTTTTCTTATTATTTAGTAGCAGATCCTGGGTGTTTTATTTATCCTGTAGGTACATTAACGGTAAGATATAAGGCAATAATTTTTCCCCCATAAGAAGCCTAAAATTGCCATTGTGGATATACTGGCAGAATCACCCAGTGCTCTCCCTTGCCACACTGAAATGAGATCACTTCACTCGGGGCACAGCACTCACCCTTTGCAGCTGATGGATTATATCCTTCCATCTCCATCAAACAGGTCACTTGCTTTACAAACATGCTACTTTGAATGTGGCAGGCAGAAATGTGAATTAGAGCCCACTTTAATCTAAAGGCCTGGTTTTTTCCCTGGCACAGGCCAGGGAGATTTCCACTGGCTAATTGAAATGGAGAACAGTCAGAAGAATTTTAAACATTAATGCCAAAGTTTTACCCAGGGAAGAGGAGTCTGGTTGGAAATCCAGGTGAATGATTAATCTTCTCATGATGATGGAATCCAGTCAATGTTTTTGTCCCCTCAGCAGACATAAAAAATGCTGCTGTGGCTGCTGGGGTAGGAGCTGATGAGACTGTTCCCAGGCCTGCTTGAAGTTTACAGAAGACCTGGTTACACAGGGTCAGGGACAAAGGCAAGAGGTTTTTTTTCTGTATTTTCCTAGTATTGTAGAATGAAAACCTGCTTTCCTATTAAAGGCAGTAAAAATTTGCAAGAGGGGACAGATTGGGCTGGGATGAACAGATCTGGTGTGAGTCCTGCCTTAAAGTACTGCTGACTGCACTGCATCAATTTGAGACAAACAAAAAACCTAGATCTAAAGAGCCCAGAAATATTGGTTTGTTCTTTGTCTATTGGCTGTAAAGCAAATAAAAAAGAAAATAAACTTTCCCCCTTACCATTACATGTAACTCAACTGGGTAACTCCTTCCTGTGACCATTTACATGAGTTGATAAGGTGACCAAAATGTCAGCTTTAACTATACCCAAAGGCTTAAAAAAGACATTGGCTCATGTGGTGCAGTCCTTAACCCATGGCCATCACTGCCATATGGGTTTGAGACAGTATTATCTGTGCATTGTGTTCACCTGGAGCAGCTGTAGTTAGTGTGCAGTGAGGAACAGTCACTTGGACAAAAGTCATCTTTGAAGGCACTGATGGCCTTGATTTCCCAGCTCATGTGTCAGGAGTGATGAGGAAATACAGCTGGTTTCTATGAGTACAGCTTAATCCCCTGCAAGGTCACAGGGACAGCAAGGAGGTGTCCTGGAAATCAACAGGTGTCCTGTTCAGTCAGGTACTTTGTCCCACCACTGTCAGTGAAGCACAAACTGTTGTGGATCCCAAAAGCAAAGCAGTGTTGCTCATGCAGGGGATGTGCCCTGATAGCTCTACTTTATGCTTGCAGGCTTATCACCTGTTGTGGGTTTTTCTATATGGGACCAGCTTCATCTGGCCAGGCACAGCCTGCTGGAACCTGGGCAGGAAACCAGCGGCCACAAGAACAAACTAGGGATTGTTAAACCCAAGGCCACTCACCACCGCAGGCTTCCTCTGATGACTTGGAGCCTGTTTCTCAAGTCACTACTGGAGTCAGCCAAGGACTGGGCAGATTAGAGCAGTCCCAGCAAAGGGGACCGAGCCAGACTGGCCGCTGCCGTCAGAGCTGTGCCCAGCGGCTCCCTGCAATGTGCAACACACAGAACAAAGCTGCTCTGATGGAAAACCTCCCCTTTGATAGTGCCCTTCACATGCTGGCCTGCCTGGGAACTCAGCTCCATGCAGTCTCTGATGATCAGCTGTTTGTGAGCATGACTTCAGGCTTCATGTGTCTCTGGGAAAGAGGGAGCCTGGGTAACAGCCTTCACGGTGCTCCTGTGGGAAGATGAATACTGAAGTCCTGCTCACCTCAGCTGGAGTTTCTGCTCACCTGTGTGTCCCCCTTCAACCTCATGGTCCTCATCCAACCCCAGTGTAACCTACAGCTGTTGAAGATTATCTGCATCCCAGCTCTAGGGCATGTAAAGTCCAAAGATGATCCAATGGGGCGAGCTCAGCCTTTTTGCTCAGCTGGGAACAGCAGTGGTGGGGCTGCCCTTCTTAGCTGAGGATGTGTTTGACTTTAATGCTGGCTTTGATCTGTACACAGACAAGGATGCTGGGCAGGAATTACTGCTTGCTCCAGCAATCATAATACCACTCAGCATGGGATTAATTTTTGATTCCATGAGTTAGTTTTAAATTATTTTGCTGTAATAAGTTGGAGTGGGAGGAGAATATTCTCAGAGATGAGAGCAAGTCCAAATAAAACAGTGTGTGTAGCAATGCAAAGTGATTTTCCTGGGAACCTGGGGGGGTTGAGGCCATGTTTTTAGACATTAACTCAGATCCCTGGAACAAGTCTTTTTTCATTTTAGAGTTTTCTGCTTGATAAGGAAAAAAATTACATTTTGCATGCTGTGTTGGGCAATGTTACCCAAGACTTGACAATAAAAGCACTTTATGCTGTCATGTACAAGCAAGATCTCTGTTCCCTCCTGCAATGGTTAATAGCACAGACTAGATTCCTAAGTGACTTAGGAGTATCAGTCTCCATTTTTGGAGGTTCAGCCTCAAATCATGATTCTCAAAATCCACCTGAGGTTCAGTTGAACTTGACAGTAGTGTGCTCCTTTCAGATGTGAAAACCTCCAAGGACCTTCTGTGCTGCCACTTTGTGGCATGCATTTTGTGAGCTGTGATAATGCTGGGAAGCCTTCTGCCTCCAATATTGCAACAGGGGTTCAAGGGTCCTTTTGCCAAGGCCAGCCCCTTGGTGCAGCCACTGACCAGAGGGAATGAGGTCTGGCCCATGTAAACTTCTGGACATGTCCCAGGTATGCTCCCAGGAGCAACATCCCCTGGCACCCTTCAATTTAGAGGTATGGATGCAGCATGGATGCATGGCTGGAAAGCTGCCCACCAGAAAAGGACCTGGGAGTGGTCAATGAATGGCTGAACCTGATCCAGCAGAGGTCCCAGATGGCCAAGAGAGCCAGTGTCACCCTGGCCTGGATCAGTAATGGTGTGGCCAGCAGGAGCAGGGCAGGGATTGTCCCCTGTACTG